GCGTCCGCATCACCGCCCCGGTCGCCGTGCCGGAAATAAAAAACTGGCAAGCCGGAGAATTGCCGTCGTTGCCGCCGCTCGTCGCGAAGAAGCCGTCGTATCTCGTCACGAGGATTAGCGCCAAAGACCGGCGTGGCGCGCGCATTGGACCTCTTCCGCGGCGCAATCCAGCGGGGGCCGCAGGGTACTTCGGAAAAAGATAGAAAAGATAAGAGGAATTCGCATTGATAGATCGTCGGAGAGATAGTTAGAGCAGAAGAGAAAGAGAGAGACAAGAGAGGGTGGGTGGTTCACGGCATGCGGTCTTGAGAGCACGAACAGGTGGCGAGGCGAGATCGCTCTCTCTCTCCCTCTCTCTCTCTCTCTCTCGCTCTCTCTCTCTCTCGCCGGAGAACTCGGTGACTGCGGAAGGAGAGAGCGCACGCGAAGGGAGGGAGGTGGCACACGACGCGTGCAGTAAGATACGCGCGCAGGAGTAACAGGTACTGTGTAAAAAAAACATACACCCCTCAAATATTCATTTCTTCTTTTTCTTCTTCCCCCTTTTTGTCCCGCCCCTCGCACTTCTTCCCCTCTACAAGCCCTCGCTGTACAACCCCTCGAAGAGGGAAAACTTTGGAAGTTGCTAACGTTTCCATGGGAAACGATCCCCTTTCTGTTTCTGGAAAGTTCACGACCCGAAAATTGTCTCATGTCTTGTTTGTCGCCTTCTGACACCTTTCCGAGCCACCCTTCAAATAATTCGTCTTTCACTGAGTTAATATTTTATCAAGTTTAGCCTACATCGACGATATCCCTTTAAGGATCGATGGGGAAAGAGAAGAGATGCAATCCGCTTATTAACGCGGCTGTTGAGAGAAAGCGGATTTAAATCGTGAGGGTGCACGCGCGATTCTGTGGTCTTTCTCCGCTTCCATCGTCAGCCGATTTGCCGAGATCGGATAAAGCTCGGAACGCGTAGATTACGAACGTAAAGGTGTAAAAATATAATAATTAAAGTGATACAACAAAAATTGATACGCAGATATTTTTAAAATGGTATGTCTGGCGGCTGCTATAAAAAAAAAATGGACCCGTATCGCTGGGCGCGTATCGGAAAACTCCCAGTGCCACGCGCGGCTCAGGAGCTTTAAATAAAAAGTTATCGTATAATGCGACGCAAATATTCTTACTTGTAAACAGGTTGCTTGAACTTCACACTGTTCTCGTTATTTTAACGGGACGGACACGATGTGGTGCGCGCAAACCGTAAAACATCGACCAGTTAAATCAATCATTGAATTATTGAGCTGTCAAAAGCCTTATTCATATTACAAATTACATAAGCGCATAAAGCAGTAATAAAACCATGCGTGGGACATTTTATTGAAGCGTTTAGACGCGCCGAGATAATGTATCTTTATCGCGGACGTCGAGGATTAAAATAATTTTCTTACTATTTAATATAATAGAATTGCGGAACTAATGTATTGTTAAAACCGATATCTCAGAATAAGAATTAATACGCGATTCACTTAGATGAAATGTTAAAATTGTGCCGAATCGTCCCGATTCGATCGGAAGCAATAATGATAGATGATTATTATTGAAATCGCACTCGAGTATATCGATTTTATTCGTAAATAGTTTAAGATCTTATTTCCGCGCGTAATACCATCGCTTCAATTTCCTGTTTTCAGCATCGCTGACTTGCGAGCTGAAACCGGCTCGCGAAACAAATAATCCCGATATAAAATAGCGAGGCAATCAACAGATCGAATGCAAAAGAGATGGCGAGGCGTAATGTCGCGGATTTTCGAGTTAGCGCGATCGGGAAATTAACTTTGAAAGCACATCGTTCGATTCGATCACCATAAAATGACGTTATTGCGCGGATGTGCTTCAGCGTATTTATGCCGATACTTTGCGGGACACGGTGTGGTTCAACATTTGTTTAGAGTTGATGAATAATCTCGGTTATATCGAATCGGCTCGGTAACAATATTTACTCGTGTCGCTAGTTGACAATTCTTCTGTACAAATAACTTCATTGTGATGTCCCTGCGAAATTCGATAATATTCCGCTACGAGGAATCAATACACTCTCGTAAACATATCGCCAAAATGTCTATCGACAAAATTTATCGCCGTAAATCGAACGCGATGAGAGCATGTTGCGGTTGGAGGATGAACAATTTCATCAATATAAACTCGCTTTTGTGTTCCGCTGCTTATCCAAAGGGTTTTCTTTACGCGTTTACAGATGCAACGGCGCAGCTTCGTGAGCTGTCGATGAAGCTGCGTAAACCTGGTTCTTCGAAACCAGCCGGGATACCGTGACGCGCGTTAACGTTCGCACAAGGCGTTACTTTCTTGTGGCGCACAAGAGGCATTATTAAAACCTAAACAAGGTAATCTGGACAATCAATCATCGCTGTGAAGATCAACGAGGGGAGGCGAACTTCTGATAACAACCTGTGATCATGCTCAGTCCCAAAATGCAAAGAACTGGTGAGAAACATCGTTTTACGTCACATTTGCGATTAATAATGTACAATGCAATATGTAAGCTCGTAACAAACGACCACAATTTCAAAGATATTCCCCTGATTCAATAATATCATTGTTGTGTGTATAATATTTATTTCTGGCATATACGCGAGGCGCAATACGAATTGGAATATCATATAGAAAGATTTTTACAAATCCGTATTTTACAAAAGACAATTCTCTCTGATTTCATGATTATTATTTGCACAATATTCGTTGCAAATATTATTATTTTGAGAAATTAAAGTACGGCAAAGGAGCGGCATTTATAAATTTGCATTTTCAAAACTGATTAAATTACACCCAAGAAATACGGCGCAAAAAGCATTAATCAATATTTAATTAACCAACGAGCGTAAAAATTAATTATAATATAACACTTAATTATAATATACAAAATTTATGTATAAAATCACGCAGACCGTCGTTTTCGATATTATTCTCGTGCAAACAGTGGTGCATAATTGCGAGTCCATATTAAAACCGCGCACATCAAAGGTTTAATGCTAACCATTCCCAGAACTATAATATATATTTACGTTGGAAAAGTTTACGTCCGCTTATCGAAATCTGCGGAGCGCTCGTTTTGCAACCAAAAAAAAATCATTTTACAAAATTCATATTTGCTGAAAAATTTTCCGCACAATATCGGGATCAGATTTTTTTTCATCCGCATTAGAGTGTAAAATGCAAATAATCGTGTATCCGTGGTTTCAGTCGCGTTTTCACTTCTCGCTTTATTTTTCACCGCAGCGCACATCAATACGCGCGGTGCAGGTGCGGATTATGCGAATTTTCTCGCCTACCTGGCAACTCCCAAGCTCGATTTGTTTGAGCGGAACACAAAGTTTCATAAATGTCGCGTATCTTCGCGCTAAAGTTAACACACGTACACGCGCGCACACACGATCGCTAGAGTTCGCAAGGAGCGACCGCTATAACCGCGAATTGCGACACCGGCAACTTCTCGCGATTTACGTCACACGCTGGTCGATCGAGCGGACTCGTGCAGAAGCCGCAGTTAAACCAAAGTTGCATTTACATTGATTCAACTGGAAACTGCGTCGTCGCCGGACATTAGAATATCGAAAGTGACACGTGCCTATTGCGATTGCACGAATGACGCTTCTGGCAAATCCAATTTCCAGCTGCGATTGAACATGCGATTGAACTGCGTGCAATTTTTTTTTATAATCGCGAACTAATTTACCTTCTCGGAATTTTATTAGGGCTCAAACGACGGCCGCGTGCTTTTAATTATTTTAATTCATTCGACACTGATTCATCCCACGCGAGCAAACGGCGATTTTAAACATCATCAGCGCGTTTGTCATCGGGGGATTATTAATATTTACATTAACATGATGCGGTAAACAAGATTCGCCAGGACTTTGTACGCTATTATTGGAACAGTTGCACGGCGAGATAACGCGACGTGTAATTGTGATGCAGCGCGTTGTATCATGCGATAAATGCACAGATTCCAAACATAATTTTCCAATTCGAATAAATTTACATGTCACGCCGATTTGCAAGTGTACACCGGTAAATCTCCATTCGCGCAATTAACGCGTTCTCGAAAAAGTTTTGCGGTGTAAAATATATTAACGCATTTCGAGCGTGGAACGCGTTTGCAAAAAGCGGGATATATTTCAGCGGAAAGAATGCTTTTAAGTGGAAAATCTAATTTATTATAAAATATCTGATAAAAATTTGCAAACAAATTACTCTCGCGCAAATTTCATTTTGCAAACATGTTTGAGAAAATTCGCTGCACGCGCCGCATTTCTCCTGCACTCATCGCCAAAATCTGAATAGCTGAATACACCGTCGGTTTTAATTGTCATCCCATTCATGAGTGCTATGTGCGCACGGTGTGTGTTGCAGTGAGGGTAAATGACGCTCAGCTAGTCATGCTCTCGGAGAAAGCCCATTACGATCATTCGCTGTCGGGATATTTGCACAAGCGGACAGCCGACTCCACCAAGTGGCAACAACGATGGTTTGTTCTCTATCAGGTGAGCGAATTGTTACCGATGATCACGCATGTTTTCACTTTCGCCCGTCCAATTCGAATCTCACTCCTGAATCGGAATCCAAATTTAAATTCAATCCGAAATATATACATATATATATTTGACCCCCTTTTTGTTCTCTTTTCGACAATTGCATAAAAATATTATGATTACTGTATAATAACGCATGGTTTGTAATTTTCCGAGATTACTAAAGTTTCTTCTTATTAACTTTACTCGGCGGAAAGTTAAGTTTCTTGCGAAGTTATCGCTGCTCATAACTGACATTAACTTAAAGCGACGTGATATTTCAGTATTCCCAACTATTAACAACCATCAAAATAAAATAACGACAATATCCAAGTTTGCGCAAACTTGCAGCGCGCGTAAAACCACGCTTCTTCCGCGGATTCGTGGAATTTCTTCGTTCACGGAAATGTTGTTTACTCGCAATTGTTACAAACTTTGGAAATGAGGCCTCATTAACTTTCGCGGGGTTTCGGGGCAAAATTAATACAATTAAGGAACGAAGTCTCGAACGTAGTTCGCGACAGATGCGCGTTATTCGGAGGCACCAACGTCAAGAGCTCGCGCGTCGCCTCTTTCTCTGCTCTCATCGTCCTTTTATGCCGCGTGATCTCTTAAGTCATCGATAAATCTTTGTTATATTCTTTCGTGATGAACACCGTGATCATGAACACCGTTCAACTTATGGCGGCCATGGTGTAGATACGAAACTTGTAATTACTTTATCAAAAACGAGAGTCGTGTCGTCACATCACAAATGAATTTCAACTTTTGTCAACAAAAGTTTATTAACTGTGTCACGCAACAACCATTTAACTAATTTTAGTTTCAAAGAAAAGCAATCTACAGGGAGTATCCGGGGATTTCGCCCCTCACTTTTACTCAAACGGGAATCTAAGACAGCTTATACACTAGAAGATAATAAGCAAGGATCAAATAAATACACAGAAAGTATCGTCCCTTGCCTTTCATTTCGACAAGATCGTATAAAGTACCTAATTGATTAAGTAGGATAATTTGTTATCCGCGGAAATTCATTTACAGATGAACGTAGATAATCTGTTGGGCGATAAAGTTCCGACTTTCTTTGTCGCCGATCGTCAAAACTTTTGCGGGATAAGCGATAATCGAGTAATCT